GCTTCCACAAGTATCGGGCTTCCTTGGGAATGTTCTTTTATTCTACCCCAAATTATCTTCTCTGACATAGGGGGTATCGTAGTTGATTTGAGTGCTGTGACATGCAAACCAACAGATGCAGCAACACTTACTGGAATTTGGCCTTTGTTGTTCCCAATCGTCATTTTATCGAAGTTAACTACACACTTCCTCGGTAGTAAATAGTCCAACCCTAATATGCATTGGTCTTCAATGTCTGACATGTATACTTTGTGTCTGTCCTTCATGCCTATGAGCTCAATAGTTACCCACACTGGTCCCCACAACCTTGTATAATATCCTGTTACACCACAGAGCTTCTGTATGGCTTCTGGTACTCCTTTGTGATCTAGCACCCTGATACTCACAAGGGTTTCCTGAAATGCACAATCTATGACAAAGTTGCACTTTTGACCATACAGCTTTCCTGTCAAGTAGACACTATGTGTGCTTGACATTTTACACCTAGCTGTCGGGACTTTCACAATGGAGGTTGGTAGGCGTCCCTCATAGAAGAAAATAAGAAATTATGTACCGTAAAAAGAAATATGTGCTCAATGGCAATATTGCATTGTGTCTTAACCAATCCAGGATTACTTAACAATTGGATCAATTTTCTCGTGAAAACTAAGGGCGTTGAATACAAAAACTTCTTTTATTGTTGGAAGCTGTGTGACGAAAGGAAAACTATTTCATTTCACCCTGCATAACTGGCAAAGAATATTCAGCCATATTTTGTTTAAAAAATTAAAATTTTCATGCAAATGATCTAAGGTGTATGTACAGAGACCATAAACTTGTGCTACTCCTTTACCTTAAATAAAGTTTATGCACGAAAGAGATTGGTTTATAAGATTTATACTTGCTGGATCCTGTTTCTGTATGTTGCACTCCTAGAGTGAGGTCATACTCACTTTGAGGGTGGTTCGGAGACTTGTGCAAGTTAGTGTCAGTAGAGGATTTATTATCTCCCTTGAATATATGTATTTGGACTTATTGTTGACGAAGGTAATCTAAGGAGTATGGGATACTGCACTAGAATTATGATATGTCTTAACAATGTGGTATTGATATGATCATTATTATTCTTATTCCTGTTTACTTTTTCGATCAGGTGTTTTGTTTTAGTTGTACATTTTTGTTTGCTTATTATTTTATTCCTTAGTTGTTGTTACCTGTTTTAATTTTGTTCATTGCATAACATTTCCAGAAACTGCTTTATGGTGAAAACTTGTAACTATCTATTCGAGATCTACAAAACGTGAATTATGCAGATATACAGTGTATGTTGCACGAATACTTTAGTTATTCGTTACTATCAAAGTATAAACCAGCTGTATGTTAACTTCGCAGCTGCGTCTGTGTGGTTCTACTACACAAGAGATAATTTCGTCACATGATATGTAAACGTATAATTTATATGACTGTGCCAAGTATTCTTAACCAGACTGCATTTGCAAATACATAGAAATAACTTGTTGACCTCGGTAAAGTTGATTCACATCGGCCCTGACCAGCTTACCAACAGGAAACCTCAGCAGCATATTTATAAACTCCTGGACAGAAACGAAGTAGCTCACTCCACTCAGCTTCAACTTACGTTTACACTGAAAACGCAACAAAAACAGTTTTTGTTCAAATTTTTGTAGCTGACAAGGTTCTCCACTAAAATGGGGTGGAAGAAAGTGGTGTGGATGATAATCAACACGTTCATCATTTTTCCTTCATCCAACTATGGTCAAAAGGACAAGATTGGTCGAGCCTGTTACAAGGACCCTGGACAAAATTCTATCTATGACTACGCTGTACCTGACATATTGCAGGAAAAAAACATCAGCTTTTCTGATTTCAGGGGCAAGGTAGTGTTAGTCGTCAATTTGGCTACCTACTGAGGGCTTAACTGGCACTATCCACAACTGAATGCACTAAAAGAAATGTTTGGCAATGAACAGTTTGAAATATTAGGATTTCCTTGCAATCAATTTGGATTGGTTAGTATGCGATTATTTATTTATATATTTTTGTTAAAAGAAAATTGTTTGGCGATAACTTTTGTCTGAATTTTTGAATTTTCACATAAAGTAACATAAGGGTTTTTATGAGCATAGTTGTCCGTAATGTTGAACTGATAGGCTAGAGGAAAAGCAACTAGTCAACATTACTCTCCACTAGCTCTGGAGTTCTTCTAGTCCTGCCTAAAAATGGTATTTGCATGACCATTACTCTTATAGCGCACGCACAATCCAAAGTGCGTATCGCGTTTTGACAGCAAATGGACACAAACCAAGAAATCGTAGATTCAAAATACGTGCACAATAAAAACTAGGCTACTCCTGGAGCATACACCTCTATTTTGTATCTGGTAAATGCGTATAATGTATTATGATAAAATCCAGTTTCTTGTATTCTAATGTTCTTTGCATGGACTAGAAGTTCGCATATTTGCAATTCAAGTATTTCAATTTATCGTGTAAACATTTTTGACAGTTATGATGTGGTCAAACATTGCACTTAGATATTCGTTTTTGTGTCCTAACAAAGCTATTTAATTTTGTGTTTTTTAATAATATAATAATCGACCGAACTTCAGTCTATTTCTTCTGATCAACGGTTTCAGCATTAAACTTTCAATCTTATATTTATACCAAAACATTAATCAAAAACCTTCGCGTGCAAAAACACAATATAGCAATATGTATAAAATAACCAGTTCTAGTTACGTTACTTGGTATATTCAACTTGAAAATTAGTCCTATACAACGTTTGAACTGAACGGTTCGGTCAGAAGTCCCAAGGTCCAGCCTTAGCGGTCCTTAACCTTGATGTACTAATCTAAGGGAAAGAAATCAGTCCACAGTACAGAGGGTGAAACTCAGTCTCGATATTTTGTGTTTCTGTTTTCTCTCTCTCTCTCTCTCTTTGAATTCCAGGTAGAGTGTCATTAATGTTTTCTTTCTGGAAGTAGCCCGGCATGGCCAGGTGGTTAGGGCACTCGACTCTCAATCTGCGGGTCGCAGGTTCGAATCCCTGTCACACCAAACATGCTCGCCCTCTCGCCCTTTCAGCCATGGGGGCGTTATTATGTGCCGGTCAATTCCACTATTCGTTGGTAAAAGAGTAGCCCAAGAATTGGCGGTGGGTGGTGATGACTAGCTGCCTTCCCTCTAGTCTTACACTGCTAAATTAGGGACAGCTAGCGCAGAAGCCGGTACTGAATTCTATTATTTTTGCATTTCTTTGTAGTTCAATTTGAATAGTACATGAATATATACACAGTTAACTTCAGAAACTTGGTCATCCATAAACTTTGAGGAGAATTTTACCACCGAGCAGCACCTACCGCCTACATGACTATAGCCGAATAATGACGTTCACTATTACTTTTATAAAACGTCTAACTATAAAAGTGTGAAACATGTTGAACGGCATACTGCAGGGTTCAGCTATTCGATCCGCAGCCAGCAAAGTATCCAATAGGCCACGTCAGTATCACCATGTACGTCGCTGGATAACTAGATGTATCTCCTGGTGTATCAGTGAATTGGTTTGACTTCCTCGTGTTATAACCTCTTTCTTTTTCTTGCGAACCCGAGCGTGGCCCAGCATTTAGCTTGCTAGGAGTGTGAATCAGAGGATTCGTAGTTCCCATCTCACTGTTACAAAAACGTGCTTCACACTTTGGGGTATGTGCGTTATAAGAGTAACGATCAAATCCTACTATTTGGTTATATAGAAAACGCCTAATAGTTGGCGATGGGTGCTATTGATCAAATGACTTCCCACCAAGTCAGTTCAAAATTAGGGGCGGCTATGTGCAGATTCTAAAACAAACTTTCTCATGAGACTGTATTGATAGTGAAAACATTATTATAGCTAACTTAGCGTTTATCGTGCTCGTTTTTGCAATTTTGAATTTTCGTGGAATCAACTATTGTAATTTGAATTTTGCCAGTCTGTTTGTTAAATGCAAATATAAACTGGACTTTTGGGTAAAGACGTTTTATTTTTAAGACTTTAATTTGTTACATCACGTCGCATAGTTTATTTTGGTATTAAACGAACAGTTCCATCAGCAACAGCTTCCTCGGTGGCTCTGTAAGTCTGAGGGCTTATACTTCAAAATTTGGGTCTTGATACTTGCGGTGGGCATAGCACAGATAGCCCATTGTGTATCTTTGTGCATCAGCCTGCAACATTGAGTAATTAAAAAGCACTTACGCACTCTTGTTATTAAAGATTCCATCTCATTGAGCTACCACTTATAAATATGTAGTGCTTAAAAACATTTTTATTGTGAAATTTCTATACTCTTGTTTCATTCAAATGCCGCTACTTCTAATATGTATATAATGAAATTTAAATGTAACCTGAAAAGGTTAACGCCAAGCTCTTATGTATAGTAATCACGATACTATTAGTATGTATACTGAAATTGCAAAATATGAGTAGAAACGTTAAACTTCCTTTTTTTATTTTCAGCTGTTAAAATTCCTCTCCTAACATCTGTAGTTTGGTTGTGGTATATGCCATCTGGTATCTGCCATTTTCAGTAATTATAGGCAGATGTACAGATGTTTTAGCTCTATCGGTATATCTGTAACGGTTGCTACGCCGCGTTTCAAAGGTAAGCTTGGTGGCTTATGCCACTTAGTGGCACAGCTGTAAGTGTGCTGACTTATAACGCTAGAATCCGGGTTTCGATACCCGTGGTGGGCACATCACAGATATTGTGTAGCTTTATGCTTAGCTACAAACAAACAAACTGATGGCTTATAACGCTAAAATTCAGGGCACAGCGCAGACACCTTTGCGTTTAAAAACAAAGTATACATCAATGACTCGGTTGGTTTTTTTTTATGTAGTGAAAAATGTTTAATAGAATGTGTTCATAGTTAATTGCTGTCAGATACACAACTTTGTGATTCGCTTAAAACTTGGATCGACGAAATATTTTATTAATTATCGTGCCCACCAGTGGCACAGCGGTATGTCTGCGAACTTACAACGCTAGAAACCGGGTTTCGATACCCGTGGTGGGCAGAGCACAGATAGCCCATTGTGTAGCTTTGTGCATAACTTCAAACAAAAACAATTCATTGTCGTTGATTAATATATCTAATAGAAGTTTTACAGCTAAAGTGTATTAAAAATATAAATAGTGAAGTCACGAAACTTGACTGAGAGACGTTTTGTGTACGAATAACTTTGGCACAAATTATGTTTTACTTCTATGTCTAGCAAGAACCAGGGGCTAATGGCACGGAAATTATCAACGGTCTGAAAGGAGTTCGTCCAGGGAACGGCTTCACTCCGAACTTTGTGATGTTCAACAAAATAGAAGTGAATGGTGAAAATCAGCATCCTCTCTACGCATATCTAAAGGTTAAAAACAACTTTAAACTACTACCACTGGAACATTTTTTTTTTTATTTATTGTTGATATTTTTTCTGTATATTTAAAAAATAAAGTGTTAATTGGATTTTACTCTAAGGAGCTTGATTATTGAAAAAAAAAATGAAACAGAGAAAAAGTAATTTTAACCAATTAACTCTGCCTTCATAAGATTATAGACTCTATTTTTATAATCAGGTTTTGATTTTTATTAAGAAATATTTCGTAAAAAAACGCAAATAATCTGTGGGGAGGATTTGACAAATGTCTTTATAATTTCGTGAGAGAAATAGCTATGTGAAATGAAAATTGGTAGTTGATAGGTATTTAATGAGAACTGTATATTTTTAACGATATACTGAGATCTAAAAGGTTCAGGAAGAACCATGTGGAAACATAAAACACAAGATACGTGTTGACCCGAGCTATGATTCATTGACACTTTTTATGTTTTTTTACGTATGCCATAATTAGCAAAATTAAATATATAAATCGATAGATTTTCTGTAAATATTAAGTACCTTTTATAAATATGTTTTTCGAATATTTAACACATATTTTATTGTTATCGTTGACTTTTTCGTGCAGACGTTTTGTCCATCTCCTTTGGCTGGCTTTCGTCGCCAAGAAAGATTGTTTTATACGCCTTTTCACAATCGTGACATCCGCTGGAACTTCGAAAAGTTCTTGGTGAACAAGAATGGCAAGCCTTTGATGCGTTATAACCCGGCAACTCGACCACTGAACATCGCATCGGATATCCGAAGCGTACTGGAGCATGGATCTGTATTACGTCCTATTGGCCCCGATGGATTACCAAACCCCTTGTCCCATAAACTAACCTTATCCTTAGATCCTTATCCTGTTTTCGTCGGCTCCTGGCCCTTGAGTAACTCATCTCAAACTAAAAAAGAATGTGGCTGCTAACTCATTATATGTATTTATATCAAAAGTTATGAAATGTTTCTTTAGATGTTTTATTATTACACGCTTTTAAAGATTAAAAGATGCTTTAGAACTAACTATTAAACAAAATTATGTAATGGGACAAAACGTTTAAGTTTTTTTTTATCAATAAACAATATCGATTTACTGCTTACATAAGCCACTAGAAATTTCTAACTCAAAAATTGGGGAATGTCGTTTGGTTAAGTGTGAAAATTTAAAGTTTTGACCAGCTTTAATTTGCCCACTGTTGGGTAAATTTAAATATGTTTGTTCTTGTTGTCAAGTTATTTTAGTTGAAAACGCTTCATATCTTTACAGATTGACCGTCAACCATAATAGACAATACACGTTATAATGAACCCTGGACATCTTACATCGTGCATGGTCAATTATTGAATATTAATTCCTTCTAAAACTTGCCATAAAGCATTTATAATGTATTTGAATTTGTTCATGACCCTAAAATGTTTTCTATAAGGCATTCTTATGATAAGTTGCTTGTAATTTCAAACTACAGATGATATTAACTGATGGTGTAAATTGCTAATCACACCCAATCTTTGTTTGTTTCTTCAGGTGTAATTTTTGCACCATTAACTTTCATGTTATATTCAGAAATAATGTAATTGTTTTAAGTTTCTCCTACGTATGAAGAACTAACCATAAACTGTTACAAACAGTTGGTTGGTTTGGATGTCAACTCCTGATGCTTTCTTGGTGTTTAGTGCATTCATCCAAGTAGCACCAGAGTGAGCAGGAGACCTTTATATTCTTTTATGTAGTGTTAGTTACTGACATAAACAAATATATAAATAAAAAGCTTTATGTTAATAAAACAATGTGTGGTGTGGCTCTCTATTTTTATTTATTAAGTACAGCAAAACCTTTTTACTAACACAATCCACCCATCTCACGCCGCCGTGGGATATTAGGCACAAGTTTGCTGTTAGTACCGATATGACGCCGTGCTTGCAGGTTACGGACGGATACAATAGGCCGTTAAAGAAAGATGTGTTTGCGTATACAATAAAGATACAGTGTGAAGTGACTGCAACTAGATTGTTTAACCCCATGGAGTACTGGAGTGAGGAAACTGAGTTTAGAGATGAAAGAATTATTGAATTTTTAGAGAATATAGGTTGAAAGATGCAAAGACGTACCAAAGTTTGTTAAGTAACAAGCTATAAATTGCTATTAATTATAAACTCTAACTCTGAGTAGTTGCGCCTCAGCTTAATCCGTAATATAAGATTATCACAGAGTGTAATTACACGTGCGTCTCTGAATCACAAGATTGTAACTAACGAGTATAATTTGCTGAAATAATGAACATTTTCTTTTGTTTTATTTTAATACATTTTCATAAATAATATATTTGATATATAATCATTATTATTTAGTACTCTACCAAATATTAAACACATTTTATTCTAGCAAAACACAAAACTGTTGTCTCCTTCTTTGCTCTTTAACAATTGAAAAACACGTTTCTCAATTTCCGAATAACCAGCCAAAAGGGGCCCGGCATGGCCAGGTGGTTAAGGCACTCGACTCGAAATCTGAGGGTCGTGGGTTCGAATCCCCGTCACACCAAACATGCTCGCTCTTTCAGCCGCGGGGGCGTTATAATGTGACGGTCAATCCCACTATTCGTTGGTGAAAGAGTAGCCCAAGAGTTGGCGGTGGGTGGTGCTGTCTAGCTGCCTTCCCTCTAGTCTTACACTGCTAAATTAGGGACGGCTAGCGCAGATAGCCCTCGTGTAGCTTTGCGCGAAATTCAAAACAAACAAACAAACCAGCCAAAAGTAAATGCAGAGATGTCATGGATAACGTCTAATTATAAGTAGTAAAGGCGATAATATATTTTTATTTTGTTTTTAAATGAGGGAATATAACACGACATAAACAGAAGATTTTTTTTTAAATTTATTTTTGATAGAAGAAAGGCGGAAGTATGAAACAATATTTATAGACTATTTTAATTAAACAAGGAAGTTTAGTTACAAAAATGGAGCTATGGTCAACCATGCGATCAGCGGCGTATTGTACATGGTTTTATTCGTGATTAGATGGCGACGTAAAGGAACAGGTTGCAGTATACCATGTGTTTAGAAAGTAAACAGATTCAAGGTAAAAGAAGAAAAATAGGAAAAAAAGATAAAGAAGGAAATGAGTCGCTAAAAACGTAAACCAGGAATAATAATTATCAAAATAAGTTGCATTTTCTTTTAATATAATGCTAGGGATAATATTAACACCATCGGAGATGACATAGTTTTGGGCAGCTATCCAAAAGGCTTTTATTCTTTTTCTCTGTTATATCTTTTATCTACCATGATGTAGTTTGTACATTGCCTTTAGATAAGTAAACAAACACCCATTTTTTTTAAAGTAAATAAACAAAAGGTATGAGATTATTATCCTATGTTTAGTGGATGTTCCGTTTGATATACTCCCCAGTGGCATAGCGGCATGTCTGCGGACTTACAACGCTTAAATCCGGGTTTCGATACCCGTGGTGGGCAGAGGACACATAGCCCATTGTGTTGCTTTGTGCTTAATTACCAACAAATCTTTTGCTATATTTAAAGCACAAATCGCGGGGACCCATCGTATTTGAAAGACTTCAAATTTGGGGTAGTTTTATTGTACCTCATTTCTGGCGAAGAACTTGATGAAATTGTTCCTAGAAGCTGTTTGTTTGTGACGTTTCCACAGGGAACGGTCAAAAGGTTTATATGCGATGATTAGCTGGCCACTAGAAAGAGTGATAATGACCTGACCTTCAAGGCGTGTTCTTGTTACTCTAGCTGAAGAAGTAGGAGCCACAACTTGCATCAAAACACTGTCATGTTTGAGCTGGCCACTTGCATAGACAGGTAAAAGGATCGGCTCGATAACTGCAATGTTTAGAGCAACACTGTTAGTTCCTATGCATACCACCAGTTGTGATCGTTCAGCTATCCATATGGAACTCACAACAGAACAAAAATATCATCGTGTATAGTCGTGACTTGCAATCGGTTTTATGAAAGTTATTGGGTAAATAGTCGCCAAAATTATTTTCATCTACTATGGTGTGAAAACCATATTCATATATATATATATGTCCTTTGTTTTAACGTTATTCGAAGAAAATTCTCATTTTGACTCTTTCTGGAGCATATGACTGCTTTCTGAAAAAAATGCGCTCCGTACTTAGAGACCATAAGTGATTTAAAAGTATAATGACGATAAAATTACACTATTCAATCAGGCAAGACTAGCTGGCGTTAGGTGCTGTTGACCAGCTGCTTTCCCTCTAGTCTATGAGCTTAAAATTAGGGGCAGCTATGCGCAGTAACCCTTCTATAGCTTCGCGCGAAATCCTGATAGAAACAAATGAAATTATTTAAGTTTTAGTTTTAGAATTGTTTGTTTCCCTCAAAAGAAGTACGCTGTATATAGATTATAAAAATAGATACGGACAAAATAAGCATAACCATCCGCAAACAATAAAAATAGTTTGGTCAATACAGCGATAAGAAGCCCGAAGTTTTTTTGTATTATGTTTTAAAAGATGTTTCGACGGTGAGTGTATTTTATTGCCATTTTCATAGGTTTATCGTTTTTTAATTTAAAATGGAAAGGACTTTTGTCTGATCTCCAACTTCGTTTTGAAAATGGAAACCAAAGCTACAGTATAAATTGTCAATCACCATCTAGTGGTTTGTTTGTTTGTTTTGAATTTCGCGCAAAGCTACACGAGGGCTATCTGCGCTAGCCGTCCCTAATTTAGTAGTGTAAAACTAGAGGGAAGGCAGTTAGTCATCACCACTGTTTCTGACCAGCTAATGGAAAATTATTCATTTAGATAAAGACTCTACTTCATTTGTCCATTGATCTTTATTGACAGAAATAATGTCATCACCAATAATATTTATTTAACTGTAGCTTTTAATGGGAAATCAAATCTTTTCAGAAAGAACTCAAAAAACTGTTTATGTCTAAATACCCATATTTATAATAAGCGATATATAGTTTAAACATTATGCACTATACAAGACATTTTGAACACACAGGAGAAAGTGGATCTGAATTTTTCATTCATTTATTGGATTTTACAATAATTTCGTATTTGGCAAGCTCTACCTGACTTGGCACAAGTAACTTGGTTTTCCCCGTATTATAGGATCGTGCTGATGATCTTCTGATGTTTTGTAGTGAGCGAGTCTTTCTTGAAATTGCCTGAGAAGGAGTGTCTTAACAGGAATTTAGAATGTTTGATAACTTGGTCCTTATCCTTGATTACATTACTTGAACCCCACATGGAAAACTTTGGCACCTTGATAAGAAAAATAACTTTTTCAGTTCATGTGTTTACAATATCCAAGAATCATATTATGTAGGCCTTTATTACTTAGATGTGGCTGGCAAATGATGTTGATTTTTGATTTTTTGTAAATATCATAACTTAATAGAATCTACCTCAAGATCCGGCTAGACTCGTTTAATTACTGAAAAAAACCCGACTGAACTAATAAAGTGGGCGGCAAACTCTCCATTACCAGCAGAAAAGTCTCTCAATACCATCATAAAAAAACTTAATCGAGGAGAGAGATTTGAACCGGCTTTATAAAATACTACGAATTTCGTATTTAGTATTTTTAAAATCTAGTGAATCTACTTCAAAAGTACTTTTAACGTGTGTTATTTGTAGTTTCAAATTACAGTGTAAAAGACCTGATTGAAAAGGCAGAAAAAGTCAACTTACCGTGTTTCAAATTCTTCTAGAATAGTTATGGACATCCTTGTCTAAAGGTTTACATAACAGAGCCACATACTAGTGTTTGGAGCAGTTTCACCCAACAGTTCATTGAGATAGACAAGCATCTTGTTTGGTGGACCAATATGTCAACTCTGTCCCTGAAGCCCAGCAACAGTTCATCAAAGAGTCCAGACAGACCTTACGTGTCCAATATTTTAGTAACTTGCCTTTCCAATCTTAGTAAGCAACTGGCCCTTCTTGTAGCTCGAACCCAGATACAGTTTAGAAAAATATGGATGCCGAAGTTAAAACCAAGGGAATGAACTGTATTTAGTATTCACTTGCGTGATTTATTATTAAATGGCGTCCTCCGATATATCAGCGAAAAGTTCACGGACTTACAATGCTAAAATCCTGGGTTCAATTAGCACCACTTGGGTTAATGCATTTGTAAGGAGACCACTAAAGGGTCACTAATAAGTGGGGAGATATACACGATAATTCCTCACCCACCAAATATATGATCTCAGATTAGGAGCCAAAAGCTCATATCTCTCATCAAACCCTACAACAGCTTTCATGCAAGTTGTTCTTATTCTACATATTAAATGTGCATGGACATTATGTGGTACCTACTTAGTAACTTTTGATGTTTGTTTTTTTTTAAACAGATGTAAGTTTATTTGGATCGTCTTGTAACCAGCTAGAATATCCAACATGAATACTACTACGGCCTGAAAAATAAAAAAAGCAATAATTTCAAAAACAATTATAAATGTGTTGAGGAACAGCCCTTTGAAGCCGTTGTTGTACCAAACTAAATATTTTTCCTTGACTTGCCACAGCACCACTAGAACTAAACTACGATGAGACATTCCACACTTCAGACGTATGAGCAGCATCTGGACTGTGCCAATTTTTCCATTCTACCAACTACTGTCACTTTTCTAGATTAAAGCCACACACAACTACCTGTTCCAGCAGTGTCATTTAACAGGCTGCAAGCATGTTATAGTCATTAGCTCTATTATTGAATAAGCATTTCGACCAAGTTTTACAAACAACACATATCACCATACAAAATATTAC